CCCTACACAGTGCTCTCTCCTTACATTGCTGCAGGATGCTGGACTGCTGCTGTAAATCTGTACAGGGTTTAGCCACACACACATGGTGCAGAGCAGAGGGGGCACAGCAGAACAGACAGCAGAAGCATGACAAAAAAACCCTTCCTACAAAGTTGTAAGTATAGCTGCCTTTAGATTCTACAGCACAAATAAACACGGCCATACTATAGTCTAGAATCTAGAATATATATCAGTGTTACTGAGACCGGCAATCTGTTTGTATGAATATGTATGTCTGTGTTGAAATGTGCAGAATATGGGTTTAAAAATCAGCAGCACCTGCATCCTGTTCATGAAACTGACAGAGAAATAAAAGAGAAGTTAAAAAGGGAAAAGGGAGAGGACACAACAGGAACCACACTTCCTGTGACATCATTACATTTCCTGACTTCCTGTTCCTGTGATGTGAATGTGATGAAGCATTCAGTCTGGGAGGCAAATCATGTACATTACTGGTCATATGTTGCTGGTAGTTAATGATGCTACACACTCTTGGCCTCGCTTTGTCTCTTTCTATAACACATACATACACACGCATTATATCTGTGCCATGGCACATAGGGGGTTTAGCGTGTTGAGTAAAGCATGGAAAAGCTCAGCTTTTCCTGAATCCTCTTAAATCTGAATCACCTTCCATCTCTTTCTGTTTGCTTATGTCTATGTGTATATTTACATCAATGACTCCACCAACATAACTATTTCATAAATATATTGCCAAAGCCATGAAAGAAGTGTGAATTTTCAGAAAAAAAGAATAAATAAAAGCAGGTAATTCCTTCAAATTCCTTCATACCTGTAACCATAACAGGGATCTGTAATAATTTTGCTGTATTTAGCTTGAAAACACGATTCAGCAATTGTTCCAACAGTGAGATTTATGCATTATAAATCCTGTTCTCTCTGTCTGGTGTTATATTTATTCCAGGTCTGGCTTGTGGCATTTGGACATGACTGAGAGTCTAATGAGAAACAGAATAGGCCTGCTTGGAGGAAAAGACAAACATTGGCCTGCCTTTGGAGTGTATTTAGTTTTGGTGAAGAGTAACCCTTGTACTGCAGTACATATTTGCAGTCAGTAGAGAAAGTATTCAGACCCTTTCAAGTTTTCCACATATTTTTATGTTTCAAACTCGTCTTAAAATGGATTCAATTAGCACTGAGAGTGCCTAAGAGCACGGTAGCCTCTATCATTCTCGTGTGGAAGAGATCTGGAACTATCAACAGCTGTCAGAGATCTGGCTGCCCAGCCAAACTGAGTTATGAGGAAAAAAGATCCTTGACCAGCAGATAACCTAGAAAAGGCACCTGACATGAATCTCACACCATGAAAAGCAAAATTCTCTGGTCTGATGAAACAAAGATTGAGCTATTTGGCCACAATTCCCAAAGATGTGTGTGGAGAAAACCAAGCACTGAGAATCACCTCATCAATACCATCCCTATAGTGAAACATGGTGGTGGCACATCAGGCAGTGGGGATGTTTTTCTGTGACTGGGAGAGTAGTCAGGATAGAGGGTGGAAGGATGGGTGCAGAAAAATATAGAGCAACTCTAAATTAAAACCTTCTCCAGAGTGCTCAGGCTGGGGCGAAGGTTTACATTTCAACAAGACAACAAACTGAAGCATACCACAAAGAAAACACAGGAGTGTTTTCTTAGTGGACTCCAGGACTCTATGAAAGTCCTGGAGTGGCCCAGCCAGAGTCTGGACCTGAACCCAATAGAGCATATGTGGAGAGACCTGAAAATGGCTGTGCACCTACGCTCCCCATTCAACCTGGCTGGCTTTGAATGATTCTGCCAAGAAGAATGGAAGAAAATTCCAAAAGAAAGAGGTCAAGCACTAGGTTCTGAATACTTATGTAAATGGGACAAAAGACTCCGAAAACCAATTTTCACATAATCATTCTGGAGTACTGTGTGTAGATTGATGAGAAAAAGTTAAATGATCTATTTTAAGATGAGTCTGCAACACAACAAAATGTGGAAAACTTGAAAGGGTGCTCTTTAAAAGTGTTTGCTTCTTATATAAGAGAAGGCAGGGGGAGCACTTGGGATTTAGACTGCTCCAAATGTGCCATTCAAATATTATATTTAACATTCATATCACAGTTGCCTATAATTATAAGAGTTTGTCCAGTACAGTGTTATTTGGCAGGAGTGAATTGCTGCTTCAAGATTTCCACATTTTCACTTAGAAGCAGCTCCTCAGTTGTTACAAAATATTCCAAGTGAACTGTTTCAAAACAGTGAGCTTGTGGCTAGGACAATTCCTGAAACATGCAAAACTGTGTTGAAAATGAGGGATTTTCAGCACTGACAAGCTCTTTCACTTGTTTGATTTGATTTGATTTGATTTATTCTTTCAAGCATGTAAAAACAGTTGATATGACAACACACATAATTTTACACATAATCCATTATCAATTTGCTTATACCTAGTACATGCTTGAATGGAGTAGGAAGAAGTCAGACTTATCCAGTCCTACCCCGTTATGGTTAGTCACCCTCACCCTCCTGGTGAGGGAGAACTAGGGGTTGGACTCACGATTGCTGACCCAGGTGCTAGTACAAAAAGGGGGTTTAATGGAAAAAACAACAACAACGAAGTAACAACATAACAGGGTGCGTAATACTTACAACCAGGGAAGGACAACTAAGGAGACCAGGACGAACAGGTACATACACAAACTAACGGTAGGAAACAGGGTAAGTATTGTCCAAAACAGGTAGTAATGCTCCGGAGATAAATCAAACATATGTGGTGTAGTGGGAATAGCGTAGCGCATAGGTAGTGAGGTAGAGTCAAGCCAAAAACACACAGAGTCTGTCAGCGTAGCATTCACCCCCATCTAGGTTGCGCAATACATTGATAATGTTCCGGCCAAGACGGAGCGTCTGCCAGAGGTTTAAATAAGGAGGAAAAGTAATCATTGGGAAGCACCCCAGCTGTGTGCATCGACAAACCAGTTGCTAATTACTGGAATGCAACACAGCTGAGGTGCAGAGCCCACAGGATAGAGAGAGCAGAGGAGAGAAAGACGGAGGAGAGGCAGCGGCCGCCGAGCGGCCCTGACACCCCCTGACATCATCTTACCATCATTGGTTTGCAAGCAGTATTAC